GGGTCGGGTCCTTCTTTAAAGAAAAGCCTAGGCGCCCGCCTAGGCCTCGATTACCCCTCTAGGCCCCTGCCTACTACCTAGTGATATTTTGAACACTTTGGAATAGCCGTTTCTAAGATATTATTTTACTGAGAAGGAAATAAAATCATGGGAATTGTTCTATTTACTATTTAATGGGGAGAAGAAGAAAAAAATCACTCAGCCATCTATTGAAGTATACGTTGTTTTGATGCTAGGCATGTATTTTCTTTCAATACATTGTTGTAGTTTGGTGTAATGTTAGATGATGTAAAAGCTGAACACTCAAAGGTTGAATTTTGCATCTGTTTTGCTCTTGAGGATCTCTGTGAAAAATGATAACAGATTACAATGCAGTGTATGGAAATTTCGGAGGGGATACGGTTGACATAAGAAGTCGTGAAATTTTGGTTTTTCTATCTACCTGTTTGTGTTAAATCTAAATGTGACCATAAATGCCTCAATTCTGAGGTTGACCTGTGGTGCAAAGGTAGTAAAAGCAAATGTTTATTGCATAATTCTGCATATAATTCTTCATTAAGATTTTACACATCTTGATTGAGGAGTGTAGTTGAACTAGGGCAGATATATCAGCTTACCTTTACCTGTAACTTAGATATCGAAAAGAAAAATGAAAAAGTAAATGAAAATAAACAGAGTTCTTCTTGAAACTTATACTGAACGGATATTGAAGTGGTGGTCGTTGCTGTCATTGGTTACTTACTTGCCTGGCATTTGATTTCTGTATTTATTTTCTGCTATACATTTTGCCCTTTCTCAAGTGCAGATTGGGGAGATTGCAAGATGGCAATGCAGTCCTGTCACATTTTAATGAGTTTTCAGAGAACTGCTTTGCTGAGGTTGCTGGAGATTTCTCTAGACACACACGCCTATTAAGGTCTATGAAGTCTGATCTTGAATACATATTTCAGAAGTTGAGGTATGATAATTGCTTTCTTTTAGTTCTGTTTTGATTATTTGAAGTGCTGACTGAATTTTTTTGTCATTGCTATCTGACTACACTGTTGTTGCTTCGGGGTTGTGGATAGTAATTGATCTGAAGATTTTTTTTATGCACTTGTATCAATTTATAGCGGTATTTACAAAGTTCACGCTAATAAAAAGAATTGTTTACATTGTAGTAATCTATATGTAGTACATGTTCAAGGAGATGTATTTGTCACTCCTGCTTTCTGCAGTTCACTTGAGAAATTTAAGATCATTTCTTTTCAAGAAAGATCAAAGTCACACATAGGAAAAGAACAATCCAGGCTGAGCCCTGTAGTCCAAAATGGGTCGGTGTTGGTCCTAGCGAGTTCGTTTGTGGTTTGTTTGACATTATTGGTGTGGTCGAATGTTCAGATTCGTGTTTACTATCTAGGATAAGCTAAATATTTCGCACTTCTGTTCTTTGATTCGGATATCATGGATAGGCTTTGAATATCTATACTTGTAGCCAATTATTGTTTGTCATATTTGCCATTCAGGTGCATATACGAAGAATCATCTCATTAGAAACCGCACTAGATAGACGAAATCAATGTGTAACAACTGGTTTTAGTTAAACCAACTTGATAACTTGATAACTTGAAAGCTTACACCTCCATTTCTAGAAATCTAGCTATCAGAGACTGATTTTCAAGTTGGGATGCCTTAAATTCCACTTGATGTGTTTCGTAACTATAGTGATGATCAGGAAGTGCACGTTTTATGCTAATATCATATGTAGTTGAGTTCTTGTTATATTCTGCGATACATTTTGACAACATTGATAACAGGAGCATGAAGTCGAGAATTTTGGCTACCTATCCAGATGCATTTTCCGATGACTCAAAACAAGAAATACTCGACCAGAGACCAGACCTTGAAATGCCGCGTTAGCACTGAGACTACGTCACGGTTCGATAATGGAAGTGTTCCGAGATTAAGCGTGTCAGCAGCCGATGTGTTAGATCTCCAGAAATTATATTTCCATTTGTTCTAGCTTACAGACTACAGAGCTTTTTATTTTATTTTTTCCCGACAAGTGTATGGAAATATGCATATAGTCACAAACGTCTAATTTCGACCTTGTAAGTATGTATTATTTAATTTGAAATTTCGGGAAACATGATGTGTTCTTGCTGCATGTACAACTAGTTTTTCTCTATATTATGCATGTCTTACGTTTTATATAAATTTATTACCCACAAAAAGAATTAATAATAATAAACACAGCTTCTACGTTGTCCCTAGTGGTTTGCTTGGCTCCGTCTCTATGTTTCCCTGAGCTATATATGCTGAGCCGCCACCCCCGGCCGCCATGTGGTGTTCTTATGGAACTGCCTCAGAAGCGCGAGACAAACAGCCTAACCCCCTCTGCCCTCTCTATATGCGTGAAACCGAAACATGCATTTGTAACTCCACTTCAACTCTCTCTCTCTCTCTCTCTCTCTCTCTCACATGTCATGGTGTCATGCAGAAAGAGATAAAACACAGAGAGCGCATGCAGATCGCAGAATCATCCCAGCCGTCAAATCCAACCTGCGTGGCTCTGTTTACCCGCCCGCACCGTCCGATGACC